ATATATATATATTTTTTTTTTATTAATAAAATAAATATTTAAATTTAAATAAAAAATACATTCACACTCACACACACACAGCGCCCCCAGAGACACACAGCGCCCCCAGAGACACACAGCGCCCCCAGAGACACACAGCACCCAGACACACACAGCACCCCCAAACACACACAGCGCACCCCGACACACACACAGCACCCCCAGACACACACAGCACCCAAACTCACACTGCACCCCCAGACACACACAGCACCCTCACTCACACTGCACCCCCAGACACACACTGCACCCTCACTCACACACACAGCACACTCCCACACATATACAGCACACACATATATATATATATATAAAATAACCCTCAGTGAGTTAACAGACAAAGAAAATTAGAAACCTAGAATGTGACAGCAGATAAAAACACCCTCACACACAGCACCCCTCTTACATACACACACTGCGCCCCTCACACATACAATAAGTCAAATATATATATATATATATACATACACACACACACACACACACACACACACACACACACACACACACACACTACAGCACCCCTCACACTGCACCACTACACACATTACGCTCCAGATAACACTAGATCCCTTACCCTATATGCACTCTTAATCCTCTACACACACACACACACACTGGGTCCTTTACACAGTAGATCTCCTACACACACACACACTACATTCCTTGTCAGCAAACACATACAACATTCTCTAAACACACCCTCTCTGTAACCCCTACACACACTACGTCACCTATACACATACACTTCAGCCCGTATGCACTCTCTCGCTGCATCCCACACTCTCTACAGCCCCTAGCCACACATATTACACCACAAACACAAATTAAATTGACCTATTTATACAATACCACAATACACACACGCAATCCCACAAGCAGGCTCCAAACATATGCACCATGCACTTTCCCGGCCCTTTTGTCCTCTGGTATCCCACTTGTGGAGACACCAGAGACAATTTAAAAGCAAACACAGCGCAAGCATGTTATTAAATTTGCTTGCGCTGCGCAGAATAAATTCAGGGCCTTTTTCTAGTGCCAGAGCTCTTTAGCAGGGCTCTGCGCATTGAACCAACATGCTCACTTTGAGAGGGGGCGTGCTTGTCATTAGTGATGACAAAAAACACACTTTCTGGCCCCGCCCCCTTCTTAGGGGGCCGCTCTGATTGAAAAATGCCCGGGCCTAATTTTTTCCCCAGTCCGGCCCTGTTGGGAAACTACATTGACTTCTCGTTTCCCAGATACTTTGAGACAGCTTTTTTTGATGTAGCTATTTATGGGTATGGGGGTTCGGTCCTTTTATTATTTCTATATAGAGACTACTTATATTCACATATTAACATATATTTGTCTATACCTTTACATTTAGTCTCTATTCACATGTAGCTCTGCTAATATAATTTTATTTTTGTCTGGTATATATATTTTTTACAACTACTTCTCAGCTGGTGGATATTACTCTAGTTAACAGGAATCAGAAACGCTTTTTACAAATGGGAATGTTTCTCTTTTCTAGATATTGTGTCTGATTATAATAGAATCATTGTATTTCTGTTTCAATTTTGTTATATCTACTATCAATACAGACTGTTCTTATTGACTGTACTCTCATGTTAACCGATAGTCCACTCTTTTGTTATAAATACATAATAGAGCGCCCATTTGGGGGAGATTGTATTGATAGCTCACCTTCTGAGATAGCTGCTATTACAGCATCACAATATTTACTAGACTTTTGAAGTAAGTCTGATGATACATTACTATTTGGCTATACAGACATATATTCACATGTCATTATACTGGTCCTTCTAACATAGATTTATATTGATTCACTTGGATAGGATTCTTTTTTGCCCTTTAGCTTTTATCATGGATTAATGTCTGCAAATTTCCATTAGATTTCCCTTTTTAATCACAAACACATTTTGCACGATTTTCTTTCGCTTTTTCTTTTTATTATTATTTTTTTCGTATGACGCAATAAAGGTTACGTTTATTTGATTTTTTACATCATTTATTCACTTTTCTACTTGTCGTTGTTTGAGCTATATACCTGGGTAAGATCTCCACCTGTGGGGTGATTTGGGCCACCAAGATTATGTCTGGTGGCCCCTTTCTATATCACACAGCTACGCAGTAATTGTTTCTCCTTTTTTCTTTTGAAGTATATATGGGGTTAGGCCCCTTTCTTACCTATATAGTCTGCTTTTAGACCATTGGGCTAACAATTCGTTAGACCTTTTAGTCTTTCTCTTTTGTATTTTCTTGATTGCTTTGGTTTCCTTTTACATGTGCCTATCCACGTCTGATATGGAACCAACATCACGATTCTTTCTCATTTGGCAACCTTATGTTGACTCTTTAGATAGAGCTCTCCCATCTAAAATAAAATCTACTTTTAAAATAACGGACCGGTAGCAGGTCAACCCCCATAATATGAACAAAATCAGTCTCTAAATGCTGGGCAAATTTGGTCTATCACACCTCCCGTCCAATTTATAATTTTAATCTCAAACAAGTTGGAGCCGATTGCTTTGTCTTCTCAAATGTGACAAGTGAAAGATATTTTGTTTGGTTCTGTTTTGATCCTCTGTTATAATGTTCCCTTTAACAAAAAAATGTTGTGTAAGTTACCATATTATGTCTGGCTAACTTAAAATGTACTGTGTGTGACTTCTGTGTTTGCCACCTCCAATTAATTCAAGATAATAAAAGACTTAAAGGGATTCTATAGTGCCAGGAAAACAAAGCCAATTTCCTGGCACTATAGAATCCTACAGTACCCCACTCCCTCCCGCCCCCCCCTCCCGCGGCGCTGAAGGGTTAAACCCCTTCAGTCACTTACCTGAATCCAGGGCCGAGGTCAGGCTCCATCAACTCTCCTCCCCCGCCAACGTCAACCGGCGGAGGAGACCTAATGCGCATGTGCGGAAATGGCCGCGCTCGCATTAGGATTTTCCCCATAGGAAAGCATTATTCAATACTCTCCTATGGGAAAAATTTTAGCTGGAAATCCTCATGCAGAGTGCGAGGACGTCCAGTGTCAGATAACCGACCAAAGGTCCATTTCAATTCAGGAAGTCCCTCTAGTGGCTGTCTGGTAGACAGCCACTAGAGGTGGAGTTAACACTCAGAGGTAATTATTGCAGATTCCCTGTAGGGTTAAGGAACATGGAACATTGCACCCAGACCACTTCAATGAGATGAAGTGGTCCGGATGCCTACAGTGTCCCTTTAAAACTGATAATATGTTTAGTTTCTAGAAAATTAATATTAATTTCCATAAAGAATGCTTAGAGTCTAATGGTCCATACTCATTAATTTGTGTATAGAGTCAAGGGTGAAATCCACATTTTTTGCAACCATCCTTCTTACACATTCTACTTTATGATCTTTATTTAGATCCTGCATGCCATTTACCAATCAATGAGTCAAAGAGTTCTTATTTATTTAACCTGCTCACAGAGGCCTGATGCTATATTTGTCATGGAATGACCTCTGCACGTCTGACTTACTAACAGTAATACTATACCAGTTCTAAATGTCAGCTGTAAGATAAGAGCAAGGGGTACTTGCACTAAGTGATGACACTCAATTTATTATTTCAGCTCCAAAATCATAAATTGCTGCTACATTTAGTAAAAAGAAAAATGTATGGATTGTTATAGTAATTTTCCATGTGTCACCTTCCACTGTTGATCTAACTTATAGTTTTTTTATAGTTTTATAGGAATATATAGTGTAATAGTGTGACAGATCCATCTGTATAGACTGGGATTGCTGGTTCGTCTGTTTTGCCTTTTCGTGGAATTACCTGTTCGTATGCCCCTGTTCGTTTATTTGACTTTTCTGCCGAACAAAACTACTGAACGGACGGCCACCCAGAAGAGAAGTGTGCTGCTGGTTAACCTCTTGACCCCAATTAGAACGTTGTGGTTAACCGCAGACACCTCTCAATTAAAACCGAATGCAGGGTGGTCGTCGTTCGTATGTTGACCACGAGGCGGCGGCCATTTTAAACAGGCGAAAGACCAGCGGTGTTCGGCCCAGATTCTATGGAACTGAAAACGGACACTTTTTCCGCCGAACACCGCTGAAGCCACCGACCTCCCTTCTCAATCGACAAAAGTGTACGAATACCGGCCATTCGGGAGTTTGAAACGCCCGAATGGACTTAACCCAGATAGCCTTCCCATGGAGTCAATCGCATACCGAAAGACTGTAAAAGACTTTGACTCCATGGCGATTGAACTATGCGTATGGGATCTGAGCGGTATTCGCTAATAATATGCCCTCAGATCCAGGCTATCTGGGGATATGTTACACGAATGAGAAATGTTCGTCAATTGTAAAATTATGTATTTTTATGTGTTTTTTGTGTTGTATTTAAAATGGCGATTTGCCTCTGTCCTGGGAGATAATTGAATTACTTCTCAATTATCTCCAGGGCAGAGGGGAGGAAACCATGATGCATGCTGGGAATATTATGTGCCTGTGTGTCCTAACATGCTATATGTCTGTCTGCCATTACAGTCTCCCATTTGGTCCCCTAGGGGAGTGTCCACCAAGTGGGAGACCTGTATAAATACGGGCGGGTAGCCCACAGTAAACCCAGTTCATGTTTTACCCTCAATGCGGAGCTTGGTCTCGTTATTGGAGGGGAATTTACTACACGAATAGCGACTGCCGGATGGAATTATTGGCTGCTTGGGAGATATATGGTTTCGGCTGTTAGCGGCGATTCGTGAGTTACTGACTGGGAAGTGAAGTACCCGTACGGGTCCCGTTCGGGAGATTGGAGTATTCCCCTGCTTGCGGTTCGTATGATTGGAGTTGATACGAATGTAGCTTGCGTTATGGTGAGAGGGGAGGATTCACTAAACGGCGGTTTGTATATTTGATGCCGAGGGTACCGTTACAAATAGTTCATATATTAATAAGTGTACATGTAAATATTATCTATGCAAGTCCAATCATTGACATATATATCTGTTAGCTTATCAGATGACGTATAAATAAAATTATTCCCAGTATTGACCCAGCGTTGTCCTCATGGAAGCTACACTGTTACAAACCTGTCCATTCATCACTCTGTATTCTGTAAAGTCTTGCCGAAGTAAAGGACTCCATCCCTGACTCTGCAGAGAATACTGAATGAGCCAATGGACTGTACAGCACATTCACACACCTATCTCTCTGCTGATTCAGAATATGGGCTAATCACTCTATATTATATTTGCCGAGCAATACACTGGTGATTGGTTTGGTTAGCACAACGTGTACATGCGATTATTAGCAGATTACAATAAGACTTATCATTTTACACATGGCACAGTACAGCAGACAAGGTGAATCAATTTTTCTGCTGACATATTCCTGGTCTTCTTGGGACTTCTATTTTACTGGACTAAGCATCTTTTAGCCTCAGTTATCCACAAAGACAGCTAGTGTCTGACAGTGCTTCTTTAACATCTCAAGGTCTGTAAATTATAGCAGGAAACCTCCCTCCTACGACATTAGAATATATTTTCTTTTGCTTCATTCTTCCCCCAAACAGACTGCTACACCCTTCCCATTGTCTCTCCCACAAATGTTCTCCCATTTACCCCTTGTGCACTTCCTCCCACTCTGCCATACACATCCCATACTTCCCAATGCATCTCCTACAATTCTTCCCCTGAGCATCTCCAACACTTCCTTTTCCTCATCTCCATAAATCCCATCATGCACTCCCCATTCCTCCATTTGTAAATCCTTCCCTTTGCGTCTCCCACACTGACCTTGCTTTCCTGTGGATCTCTACCAATCCACCCTTGTCCAATGGACTTGAGAGAGAGAAGTGAGACTTGGTTGTCAGAGTATGATGATTGGCTGGCTGACAAGCTAACCAAATCGGAGGGCACTGACTCTGTGGCGGAACTCCGGTACTACAACTGAGTACCTCCGCCCAGTCTGCTTCCTAGCTGCTTGCCGGGATCCAGGAATGCTTCAGCCCCAGCCTTCAGTCGAATCTGGACTGGGGTATCTCTGGAACTCTTTTATTCCAGCAAGTATTGTCTCCTCTGCCTATTCCTCTGCAGCTTTCCTTCCAGGCAGGTATCGTCCCCTCTGATATTCCTCTGCAGCTTTCCTTCCAGGCAGGTATCGTCCCCTCTGCCTATTCCTCTGCAGCTTTCCTTCCAGGCAGGTATCGTCCCCTCAGCCTATTCCTCTGCAGCTGTCCTTCCAGGCAGGTATCGTCCCCTCTGCCTATTCCTCTGCAGCTCTCCTTCCAGGCAGGTATCGTCCTCTCTGCCTATTCCTCTACAGCTTTCCTTCCAGGCAGGTATCGTCCCCTCTGCCTATTCCTCTGCAGCTTTCTTTCCAGGCAGGTATCGTCCCCTCTTCCTATTCCTCTGCAGCTCTCCTTCCAGGCAGGTATCGTCCTCTCTGCCTATTCCTCTACAGCTTTCCTTCCAGGCAGGTATCGTCCCCTCTGCCTATTCCTCTGCAGCTTTCCTTCCAGGCAGGTATCGTCCCCTCTGCCTATTCCTCTGCAGCTTTCCTTTTAGGCAGGTATCGTCCCCTCTGCCTATTCCTCTGCAGCTTTCCTTTTAGGCAGGTATCGTCCCCTCTGCCTATTCCTCTGCAGCTTTCCTTCCAGGCAGGTATCGTCCCCTCTGCCTATTCCTCTG